GAATGATGTTCTCCAGTTCCATCCATTTACCAGCGAATGATAAGGAGGTTACATTTTAACTGAGGATGAGAAACATCTCAAGATGGGAAGCATAGCTCACTCGCAGGCTGGTGTGGTATGAGGGCAAGGACTCAGGTCACACTACATCCGAGACCCTGAGCCTGGCCTCTGCCTCCTGCATTACCCACTCTCCCCCAAGGTGGGCTGCATCTTGGTTGGGAAGCAAGGACGTCTGGGAGAAGAGACGCTCACCTCCATTCCTCTCCCCCTCCCTTCTTCCCGAAACCCACTCAGACACCCTCATTCCCACTGAATTGCTCATCCACAGAAATGTGGAACTTAGCTTTCTGTCAACCAGGAAGCCCTAGAAGGTTAGAGATTAGTTTCTTGGCTGCTGTATTCTGTGAGGGATTGTCAAAGGAAATGGGGGTCACTGGGAAGTCAGGCTCAAGCCATCTCCCACTTCTTTTTGTTTGTTTGGTTGGTTGGTTTTTGCAGTACTGGGGTTTGAACTCAGGGCCTTGTGCTTGCTAGACAGGTAATCTTACTGCTTGAGCCACTCCACCAGCCCTTCTCTCCCCACTTCAATCAGAGCACAATGCTTCTTCAAATGGTTTGTGTATTATGGACTGAGTTTCTGTTTTGTTTTGTTTTTTTCTTAAGGGTTTGCTGCTAAGAAAAATAAGTATTTCATAAACACTGATTTACCAAAAAGTGGAAACACTCAAATGTCCATTAACTGAAGAACTGTAAAACAAACTGGTCTATACATATGATAGAATATTACTCAGCCATAAAAAGGACTGAAACACTGACTCATGCTACAACACAGACAGACCTTGAAAATATTACACTAAGTGAAAAAGTCAGACACAAGGCCATATAGTGTAGGATTCCATGGATGTGAAATGTGTGGAATGGAAATCCACAGAGATGGGAAGTAGACTGATGGTCACCTGGAATGAGGGAATGGGGGGAATGGGGAGTAGGGGTTTCTTTTGAGGTGACAAAAATGTTTCAGAGCTATCAAGATGACAATTTCAACACTGAATGTCCTAAACGCCACTGAGTTATTCACTTTGAAATGGCTACTTTTATGTGTCAAGAGGTCCACCTCACTGGTGGAGTGGCTCAGTGGTAGAGCATCTGGCTAGCAAACCACATGGAGAAGGAAGTCTGCATTCCCAGGGCTCTCACAGTCACAGCCTGGCACCAGCACAGCAAGAGCCTGGTGGGTCCTGCGACTTGGCAGGTGCTGCTGTCCCCGACAAGAGCACCCTGGCCATTTTCCTCTCATGTAAGCCTCCTCTCATGCATCTCTTTGGTTGGCCTGTCATCCCACAGGAACATCATTCTGGGCCCATTCTTTTCATGATGCCATGAGGGCTGCCACTATCCCTCGCCTGTCTTTGTCATCTCCAGCCTGGCATGTGATGGGTGCTCAGCCAGTGTTTGTAGAATGACAAACACACAGAGGGGGGCCAGACATCACAATTCCCAACATGGACTACTACCCAGCTCCTGTCCACCTGTCCCCGCTCTAGCGGCTCTAGTTCCTGACTGTGCTTGAACTCCTCCCACCTTCTTTGCCCCTCTTCAGCAGTCCAGGCTTTCTTTAAGCTTCTTGCTGGCCCAGGTCCCTCCCACCAGAGGACAATGCCTGTGCAGGACCCTCTTGTTTGGCCAGCCTCTGCCTCTCCAAGAGTGTATGAGCCATGTCAATGCTGAGAATCCACTCTGAAGTGGTTCAAGAATTGTTTCCTGAATAACAAATGCCTGGTCCAGATCTCCAGGATCAGACTTGATCCCAAGAATCTGCAGAGGGAGGGGGATGGGTCAGGCCCAGAATCTGGTGCAGAGTAACCCACGGGGACACTGACATTCACTGCCTCTCCCACCATGGGCACAGAATGGGGGCAGGGGAGTGGAAGGGTGGACGAGGAAGGGTGAGTGGGTGTAGGTAAGGCTGGAACAGTGAAGGTCATGCAGAGGCCCCAGGTGGGGGAGGAGGAGACATGGATGGGTGCCTGGCCCTGGGGCTCAGGCTCTGGAAGGAGGAGAGAGGCAGAGTGTAGGAAGCAGGAGGGGGCGGTGCAAAGCTTTTGGGCTCCCAGAGGGAGTCCGGCCAGTCCCTTGAGGGTGAACACTCTGCATACAGTCTCTTGGTCCCTCCCAGAGCCCAGGGCCTGCTGCCTGCTGGAGCAAATACTAGTCCAATGCAACCAGGGTTTTCAAGGTGACTATGGAGGGCAGCCGAGCCCTGGACCGTACCTGGAGTCCCATCTCCCTCCTGGAGGCAGATGCCCTCCCAGCAGGGGCTTGGCAATGAGGGCTGGGGAAGGGGGGGGTTATGGATTTCTGTGTCTCCAAGCTTAGGCCTAAGGACATTCTGGGTCCTTCTTCCTTGGTCAGGACCCAAATTCAAGGCCAAACAAGGGGACCCAGTGGCTCCCAAGCAAAACCCTACCCTCAGGAACAGGGAGAACTTTCTGAAGCATATAAAGGGGGAGTCCCAGGCATGAGATGTGCTCTAGGGGCTGAAGATCCAGCCAGGTTGGAACCACAACTTAAGAGAGTCCAGCTCTAGCTCTGATCCTTGGCTCCAGCCTGATCCTCCTCCTCCTCCTGGTTCTTCTCCCAACATGCTCTGAAAGCAGGAATTCTAGAAGGGGCAGTATGATTCTTATATGGGAGCTACCCCTTTCTATGAAATTATTAGAACCTCAGGGGCTACCTGCCCTGATGTGTGACCAAGGCCCAGAGGCCAGTGACTGTGGGTTAGGGGCAGCCCCTGGTCATCACTGACACTAAGGGCCCACTTCTGCTTCCCAGGCATCCACCTGTGTCCCAGCCCTGTCCTCACTGGTCCTGCCTCAGGCTCTCTGGGCCCCTGTTGTCGGTCAGTGGTCTGTCCCGCCTTACCACGGTTGCCAGGCTGGGAATGTGTTTGACCGAATTCTCGACCTCCTCTTCGGTCACCTCGACCAGCGTGCAGTTCTCATCTTCCGATGGCAATGGCTCGGCCCCGTGCCTCGTGACCCAAGGGTGCAGCTTCAACGAATGACAGGAGGGGTGAGGGGCGGGTGTGGCTGGCTCCTGGGAGGCCCTGCCACAGCAAGCGGAGCCGAGGAGGGCATGCAGGAGGGAGAGGCCAGGGCCTGGGACCCGGCATGCAGGAGAGCTAGTGAGCCAGGTGGAGTGCAGATGAGCGAGACAGAAGGAAATGTGGAAAAGCCAGTGACAGAGAATAGGAGGAGCCATGGGGCTGAGATGTGTGCAGCAGACCCGATTCCATCTGGCCCAGGTCTTGGCAGTGAGTAGAAGTTGGCATCAGCCTTGCCTCGCTGCTCAAGGAGTACCAGTCACTCCTCAGAAACTCTCCCTGATGCCGGAAGGCTCAGCTCAGCTCAGCTCAGCTCAGGTGGCATCTTCCCGTTTCACAGAGGGGAAACAGTGGCTCAGTGAGACTAGCTGGAAGGACATAACTGGGAGAAGACCCAGGCTAGCATCTGCCCCCAACTCCCCTGCTCGAGATCCGAGTTCTTATCGGTGACCTTTTGGGCTGTCCCCACTTAAGACACACCTCCAGTGCTAGTTAGCCAGGTGTCTAGGAGGCCCAGGAACACACAAAGACATTTCTTAAAGGGACAGATGTGCACACATGACATTGGCAGAGGTGCAGGGGACAGAGTTTCTCCTAAAAGTACATTCTGCAATAAGATGAAATTCGCAGCTGGGGAGGTTGAACTGCTTAGTGCAAATTCTACTCTCAGTGCAGTTTCTCAAAGGGACTGGTCCACATCTCTTGACAGTCATGGTCCAGGAAAGGACCTGGAGGTTCAACAGCCAGGGCATGGAGCACAGGGCGGTCCCAGGTCAGTCTGTGGAGGGTGCACGCCATCAGCCCAAGCCAATGAGAACAAGCACAGGCTACCCAGCTAATTGCTCAAAGACCCCACTTCCTCAATTACAGTGGACACAACCCCACCCCTCATCAGACCCCAGCAGCCTAGAGGCCCCAGGCCATGGGAGGAGCCAAGCAACTCCAAGCAGGGACACAGGCCAGGCCTCTGGTGTCAGCCCCTGGGGCCAGTGAGGGCCCTCAGGTACCTTGATTTCTGGTACCATAATCCTTGACTCGGGGTTCTTGTCCAACATACGAGTGATCAGGTCCTTCAAGTCCTCAGCTATGTCAGGCCTGGAGGGGTGGGAGACACATCAGGAGTGGGAGACAGAATACACAGGACTGCCAAGGACCCAGAAAGGAAGATGACAAAGGAAAGAGTACTCACTGGTCTGGAAATTCCAGGGCCTGGCTCTTGATCTTACTGTGCAAACACATGATCCGCTCATCCATGAATGGGCACTGCAAAAAGGCCAGAGACAGAGTGGTGGTCACTGGCTGCTGTGTGTATTCAGAGGCCACCTGAGCTGTGTCATTCCTCAGGGGTTACAGCAGAAAAATCAACAGGCCTGGCCCAGTCTGGGGAGGGAGCAGGTGCCATCCCCCAAAGTTCTAGATGGATTAAGAATGTCCTAGAAGCATTAGAGCCCTTCCTAACTTCACTGCAGTCTCACTTCAGTTTCCTGCTTACACAAAAACAAACACTGTTCTGTACCCACCTGCTGGAAGAATAATAAAAATCCCAAGAACACCACTGAAGCCCTTGAGCAGCAGCAATGGTTACAAGGGCTGAGCCAACCAGGTTTTTGTGACCAACACTTGATCCACTGTGCCTTCCACCTGGTTCTGTACCACCACACAGGTATCTGATCAAAGCTTACCTGGAGGGTTTCCCTATCTAAAGTAGCCTCACCTCTGTCCCTACAACCACAGCACTTCCCATCCCTGACTGTTTAAGTCTTCCAATGGAATATCAGCTCCAAGATGGCAGGGCTTTGTGTCTGTCTTGCTCACTATGGACTCCCCAGTGTCTGAGAACATTCTTCACACAAAGTAGGGGCTCAATAAAGATCTGCTAAATTAATGAATACTTGAATTATCTCTGTCCATTCTCTCAGAAGCCGTAAGAAATAAGTACTGGGCTGGAGGTGTAGCTCAGTGATTAGCTCATGCTTAACACCTGCAAAGCCCTGGGTTTGATCCACAGGATAGATGGCTGGTGGACTGGCTTAAGTAGTAGAGTGCCTGCCCTGAGTTCAAACCCCTCAGTACCATAAAAAAAAAAAAAAGAAAGAAAAGGAGAAGGGAGACCATAAGCATTATCTTATTATCTTCATTTTACTGAAGAGAAGGGAGTGCAAAGCAGGATTTATACCTCCACTAGGCTGACTCCAAAGCCCATTCTTCCAAGTAGCTAGGATTATAGCATGAGCAACCAGCACCAGCTCCAAAGCTCATTCTTTGTACCACCTTCCAGGTGGCAAATCAACTCCCAAAACCCTTCTCTTCCCCCCTTCTCTTCTCTTCTTGAGACAGGATCTTACTATGTATAGCCCAGGTTCACTTGATATATAGCCAGGCTGGCCTCAAACCCTAGATCTTCCTGCTTTAGCTCCTGAGTGCTGGGAACACAGACATGTGCTACCATGCCTGGCAATAAAGGAACTATAACATGGGGCACTGAGAGGGGTGGAAAAGGTGGTAGAAAGTCAGCGGGGTCTACTCTGGTTCAAAGAAAATGACTTCATTAAGAGAAAGGACTTGAGATAGAAGCTTGAGTTGCCCAAGTATATTTGCTGGACAGAACTCATTAAAAATAGGACATGAGATCTGTACGATTCAATACATGTACATTTTTTTTTAGTGTTGGGGAATGAACCCAGGGGCTTGCACACTGTGCTAGGCGTACTTCCCAGCATTGAGCTCCACCCCCCACTGGATGCAAATTTTACCCCCAAAGGAAAAGCAAATTCCAAATATTGAGTTATAGCTAGTAACTACATTTTAAGGTACCTGAAAGGAACAGCAGAGATGAGGGCAACACACTCGGCAATGTATTAGAACAGATGGATGGAAGGATGGAGAGATGTGTGATAAAGCAGGTACAGTGAAGGGCTGGCAGAGTAGCTCAAGTGGTAGAGCACCTGCCTAGCAAGTGTGAAGCCCTGAGTTCAAACCCCAGTACCACCAAAAACCAGACAAACAAACAAACAAAATCATTTAAAGTAGGTACAATGAAAATGCTAATGGTAAAATCCAAGTGGAGGGGTCATATGTGTTTACTGTATAATTTTTCAACTTGATTGTATGATTGAAAATTTTTTTAATTAATTTTTTTTTGGGGAATAGTTACAAACTCTCTTACAACTACATGGAACCAGATTCTTTAGTTTTCCTCCAAAGGAGCAGAGCTCACAAAAGAGAAAAATCCATGCTTTTATTGCTCACCAAATCAAACTGATCTTCACAGTTAAAGAGAAACCCCTAAATATCAATAATATTGAAACAAGAACAACAAAAGAACTGTAACAACAAACAGGCACACAACACTCCCTAAATCGATCAAACCAAATGACAGTCATCCCATTCTAATTCTAATCCTGACAACAGTGTCTAGGAACTCTGATGAAAAGAACCTCAACGTAGTCTAGGGCAAAGGCGGAAAAGAGTGCAGTTACTGATTGGTGATGCCTGTCCCAGGCTCAAGTGTGGGGAAAGGTGGCATTATTTGTTGTCCTTGCCCTAAATTCAACTATTTACAAACTCCAGTCTCCGCCCACCCTTCTGGGTTTTGTTGTTTGGATTTTTTTGTTTGTTTGAGATAGAGTTCTGGCTGGCCTCAAACTCACAATCTTATTCCTCAGCCTCCTGCCTGGGGTTACAGGCATGTGCACATCCTGCTAATCCTTCTGTTTTATAAGATCATTTTTTCACAATTTGTGAAAAGAGGGAATCATATACAGATATGTACATTTAGGAGGGCATCCTTTTTCATATTTACACCTAGCTGTAACTGTCAAGTGAGTAAGTGCTGTTTTCCTGCAAGAACACCATTAAATTCAGGGGACCATCCAGCAGTACTTGGGAGAACGGACACCCCCTCTCTTACCTGGCCAAAGACAAAGCAGTACAGTGTCACTCCCATGGCCCAAACATCTAAGGCCTGCAAGAAAAAGAGAGCTTAGTGTGATGGACTAGAGACAGGCAAGGCTACCTACAGTTTTTCCTGTACAGCATCCAATCCTCCAGCTTTCTTTGGGGACCACCTCTTCTTATCTCTCAATGAATGCATTTAAGGTGGGGCTGATCGTGTCCCCTAGTCTCCTTGGTGGCCACTTGACCCAAGCCTAGCCAATAAGAATACAACTTCCCCCAGCCATAATGACTGGTCCAAGGATGGGCATATCACATGACCTACGCTGGGCTAATCAGAGCCAGTCCCAGAGGTTTTGCTTTTGCTATTCAGAGAGAGGAAAGCTCTTGCAACTGAGGTTAGAAAGTACCCTCAGCTGTTGGTACCTGACCCATCTAGGGAAAAAACAATAAAGGCAACAAGGGCTGAAAGACTGAGAGGCCTGTTCTTGTTTGAGTCCTCATTTCTGGCTGAGCCTGATGTGAAATGTACCTACCCTTCAGCTATATAAACATAATGCACTTACATTCAAAGGACCCTAACACATGTAGAACTTGGCAGCTCAAACAGGTCCAAACCTACCTTCCCGGAGAAAATCTTGCGGGTTTCTGAGAGTGACTCAGGTGCCATAAAGGCAGGCGTGCCCACAGTGTTAGAGAGGAGGGCATCACTGCCCTTGAACTCATTGCTCACGCCAAAGTCAGCAATCTTGATGTGCCCATCTTCTCCAACCAGGAGGTTGGAAGGCTTGATATCCCGGTGGATGATCTTCTGATAGTGTACTGGGCATGGGGGGACACCAACAGAAGAGAGGGGGAAGGAAAACTCCATGAGGATCTCCACCAGGCCGCACAGCCCAGAGACCCAAGCACACCACCCCGTAGCCCCAAGCCTTTCCCAACCTCCTGCCCCAAACTTGTAGGGCACTCATATGCTCTGAAAAATAAGGGAAGAAGAGAGTCTTCAAGAAGGTTTACCAGGTTCTCCAACCTCATACAGCAATTTGTGACAGTCTCAGTCACAGGTGGTGAGTATGGCTCCCAGCAAAAAGCCTCAAGACTCATGACAGTCAGACATAGTCTCATTTGTCAATGACCAACACTCATCTTGGTCACCAAACCAACAGAGCTCCCAACCCGCTCTAGAGTTCAATCAGACCAGGCTGATGTGACGTGTGGACCACAAAGTAGGATCAAGGATGCTCACTGTCCGCTCCTGGATGTCAGCCAATGGCAATGGGTAATGCTATGGTCTGGAGATGGTGATACAGTAACGAGAGTAGTGGCTCCTTTCATTGAGTTCCCAGGCCAGGGCTTCACCCCATGTTAAGTATTTTACATTTATCTCAATTAAACCTCCCAAAAATGCTACATGAGAGCAGGGATAGGAGTCAAAACGTTTAATGATAGGAGCAGAAAAGACACCTGCCAATCACAACCACTATCTCAGCCCTGGTGAGAGATACTTTAGAACAGGGTTAACAGGGTCTCTATCCTATAGTAGCTGGGAAGAATAAGATGATGCAAGCCGAGTCCTAACAGTGCCTGGTTCACATAGAAAGTGCTGGAGAAATGGTCACTATTGTGATGGCTCTTCCTTTTTCTCTACAGCAGGAAGAAGGGTTTGTCTAAGGCACAGCCCCAGAATGGCTCTGAAGCTGTGTGAGATGTCTCTGCATCTCACAGGAAACTCTGTTTCCTGCCCACCTCCTACAGGTTCTAGGAGGGAAATAAGACACTTCCTACTTTCCAGCTCGAATGCTAACTTCCCCTAGGCGAGAGAGCCCTCCCACAGCCCACTTACAGTACTCAATGCCTTTGATCAGATCCTGGAAGTAGAAACGAGCCTGGTCTTCAGAGAGAGGTTTGAGGGTGGGCACTTCCATCACAGGCCTGAAAGGTGGACACATGTGTGAAATAAAAACCCAGCCCAGCCCTGACCCTCTATTCCAGCAGAGCCTGGCACCGCCTCACTCAGCTTTGCTGATCCAAGAGCCTCTGGCATCCTGTCGGGGGACTGAGACACTCACCCTTGGTTGACAAGTTCAAACACTGTAGGAGAGAGAAGGGGGTGAATAGTTACATTCAGGAACTGGAAATCCGTCTCCCTCCCCATCCTCCCCGTCACCTCCAGAAACACCAAGAAACACAGAAATTAATACGGGGAGGGCAAGAGAAAGAAACTGTCCACAGAACCAAAGATACTCAAGGTTCTGCCTTGCTAAGTACCTGTCAGGAGGCAAAGGACCAGGGATTTCTGATGTCCCAAGGACACTAGTCTGACTTTATTTCTAGAGCTCAAAATGGCCAAGAATCCATAGGTCAAGGCAAATAGGGCAGGGGAGAAAGCAAGCAGGTGGGGATGGCTTATGGGCCCCCATCCCTGGAACCTGTACCTTGGAGGTTCCAGGGTTGCAGCTGATGTTAAACTATGTCCTCTGGTCACACCCAAGTCCTCAGGGCTCATATGACTGAGTTAGGGCAGATCCACTGTTGCTTTGGTCTTTCTTGCATGGGTTATTTATGTCTTAACTTGCAAGCTTCCTGAATTCCTACACCTTCCTCCCAATAAATCGATCAGCATGGGCCTATTGAAACAGGTCCATTTTCAGCCAATGGTTCAGCTACCGTTGGAGTTGAGCAGTGAGTGAGAATTTTTTTTAAACTCTTAAAGATATAAAACAAGGTGGGGTTTTTTTGTTCTTTTTCTTTTTTTTTTTCTGGCAGTACTGGGGTTTGAACTCAGGATCTTATACTTGCTTGGCAGGCACCCTACCACTTGAGCCACTCCACCAGCCCCATTTTATGTTGGGTATTTTCGAAATAGGCTGTCATGAACTATTTGCCCAGGCTGGCTTCAAGACCTAATCCTCCTGATCTCTGCTCTTTGAGTAGCTAGGATGACAGGTCTGAACAAGTTTTCTACATCAATGGCCAGGCCTCCTGTTCAAGACTTTCCCTGATACCTACTACCTGGCCTGTCTGTCTTTAGCACACAGATTGTGGCTAGAAAATAATAAAAAAAAATAACCATGCAGGGATTTTCCACACCCAGAATTCCCAGCTCCCCTTACCCTGTCCAAGGTCTGTTTTATCTTACTTTTGTGTAGTGTTATCACCTTCAAAGCATATGCATAATATCTAGGAGACTGCCCTGAAGCTGGGGAGTTTTGAGTTTATTCTCTCAGAAACCTAGAAAGGGGTCTAAAAATTGCAATGTTTGTTGAATGAACAAACAACCCTCTCAGAAAAAGCCCATTTAGAGTTGGGTCTGAGAAAATTATGCTGAGGGTGCCATTCTGGACCAAAACTTCACTTGTTTGCTTAACCAGTTCTATAGCTTGGCTATATCTATATGCCACAAAATTAATGTTTTTCTTGAAGAAATGGGGATCGAACCCATGGCCCCCCACACACGAAGCAAGTGCTCTACCACTGAGCTACATTCCCTAATGTTTTTCTTTCACTCAACTCAGTTTCTCCTATACAATGTCAAATTGAATCTAAAAAAAGCTTTTCAAAATATTTTTCACATACCATCCAAAATCACACTGTATAAAGTGATGGTGGTACCCCATTTTGAGAAAGGCTGAGATTCTTTAATAGCTACATTTTCATGAGTCTCTATCTCACCTTTAAAAAAGCCTCTACTGTTTTGTTTTGTTTTGTTTTTTTGAGGAGGGTTTTGAGACAGGGTCTCGCTGAGTAGCGCAGGCTGGCCTCGAACTTGCCATCCTCCTGCCTCAGCCTCCCAAGTGCTTGGATTAAGTTCATCGCCATGCCCAGCTAATCTCGTAATTCTATCAAGTAATACAGCAGATGTTGTTATTGTATGGCTTCTGAAGGAAGTCTTTTAAAGTTATAAAATTCAGATGTGGACCACAACAGATGCTCTTAGGGAATTATGGTACTCTTTTTATGTGAAAATGGTATTGGGATCATGTAGGAGAATGCCCTTGTTATGAGATGCACACCCCAGTATTTAGGGGCTGAAGTGTCTGCTGTTTTATTTTCAGATGGTTCCACAAAACAAAGAGATGAATAGAAGCACTGATAAAGTGTATCATATCTACACTGAAAAAGAAGATATGACACAAAAATTGAATCAGCGTGGTCAGTATTTAGACATTCACTGTACTGTTGTCAACTTTTCTGCAGGCCTAATATTTTCATAATAAAAACCTGGAGGGCAATTTCTAAAAACAAAACAAAAAACATCCCAAGCGACTACAGCGCACTTGAACCTGAAGGAGCTCCCAGAGCTGTGTCTGAACCTGACTCATTACTTCATCACGCCTTGTGCGGCCCAGGATCACACCGTGGCTATCCAGGAGACTTCTGACTCCAGGCCGGAGTCTACTCCCCCAGCTCCTTGGTCCCCTCTCAGTAGCCATCTGCATGTACTCAAAATGCATGGGACCATCTGCACACCCGCCCAAGCCAGACATTCTAGGACAAGAGACCTGTCAACCACACACAACTGGGTGTGACAGTCTGCTCTCCAGTTCTGAATGAGTCCTGCCCTTTCTCGCTACATCAGCATTTATGCTGACAGCTCACAGGACTGTCCCATGTCCCTACCAGTTTTTAAAATGAGGCCTCTGAGGACACACTTGGGCCCTTCCACTTCTGTGTGCAGTGCCCACATCCTCCGTGGCCTCACTACAGCCTCCTGGAGCCTCCATCCTCATCCCTGTGCCCTCTCCTCACTTTACTCAGTCCCAATAAGACACTGAGCTCTCAGCCTTAGGGCCTTTGCACCTACTTTTTATGTGTGATAATGGTATTAGGATGCCCAATAGGTATCTCCCATCTGAAATAATTCATCCACCACTCTCTGATCACCCTGTTCGATCTCCCTCAAAGCACCTGAAGTTCTCTGGTTTATACAGTTGTTGACACTGTCTTCCCCAACTAGAATGCCAGCTTCATAAGAGCAGGGGCCTCCTCTTTCTTACTTACTATCTTCTAGGCATCCTCAGTGCCTAGAAGAACACATAGCAGGTACTCAATAAAGAGTTGCAGATGAACAAACAGGAGACAGAGATTTTAAAAACTCCCTTCCACCTCCTTCAAACCAGGGGTGCCTTCTCTGGGACTCACCGAGGAGCCCAGCAGGCCTGGGAAAGGGACAGCTAACTTTGATGGGACAGAAACCCTTGGCACTGGCTAGCACAGCTGCCTGAGCAAGAGTGGCAGAAGGAAAGGGCTCTCTTACCCATGTACAGATGGTCCTCATTGGGGTCATCCAGGACCTGGTGGCACAGCCGCCCAGAGACAGGCCAGGAAAAGGAGCGGGGATTGGAGAGAAAGAACAGGGATGAGCAGAGAGGAAACAAGAGCATGTGGTTATATCCACCTCCAGAGGGCGCACATTTCACCCTTCTTCCTGGCACAGGAGAAATTCCCAGAGTATGAGACCCAAATGGCCACACTGCAGGTAAGCACCTCCCAGTCCAATCCTCAGGGATCCCAAACACCCAGAAAAGAGGTGACATCAGGGAGGGGCAAGCCCTCCTCTGACAAATTTCTCACACTTGGACAAGAACCTAACTGGCCTCCTACGAGACATGGACTGGTCTTCGGAGTGAGCCCTCGCCTGTGATACAGGGTAGTTCTATTCCTCTCACTCACTGTCCCAGAACTGCTTCCCTCCAAAGGACAGGCACCAGGCTGTATCTGTCTCGGCTGGCTCACTGGTGACTCATATGGGGCTGGGCACATAGTGGGTGCTCAGGAAACACCAGACCAGTAAATGAACAGACCAGCTGGCAGAGTCTTGTTGGGTGGAGAGATCAGATACCACAGGGCAGCAAGGAGCACGAAGATTCCACCGGGAGCCAGGGTCATTTGAAAACCAAGTGCCCATGGGCTTTCCTCTAAAATGGCCAACTCCAGCATCAGGAAGTCAAGATCATAAATCTTGGGGTTACAGAGGAACAGAGGGGGATGGCCTGCAGCTGCTGTCTCTCCTTTGGGGAAAAAACGCACTAGGCCTTCTATCTCTTCCCACATCACACGCACCTTCCTGGCCATTTAAGATATACAAAACCACAGGCCCCAAGAAATGAACAGACCTTAGGCAGAGCTGGGAAGCTCCCTAGGGCCTGAACCCTGTCCCATTACAAGTCATGCCCAGGGCCTTGCTCTGCTTCTGAGGACCCCAGGCAAGGAGTGGCATTACCCAAGACAAAGATGTGCTCCCCCACATAGAGGCCTCCAGCCCTTGCACATGCTTTTCCTTCCCCTGCAATGCTCTTCCCTGTCATCACCAACCAGGGGACAACCAGGGCCACCTCAAACATCACTTCCTCTGAGAAGCCTTCCCCACGGCCTCGGGCTGAGCAGGTTTTTGCCACTCTACACTCCCATGTCACTCCAAACATCCAACACAATACTTTATCACACACTGTTGTCAAAAGTCCTTGTCACCTTCACCAAGACCTTGTCACCTTGGCAGAGGTGCTCCAGTGTGACCCTGATCCTCCTGAGGGTTCTCAAGACATTTTCAGGGAGTTCACTAGGTGAAAACTAGTTTTAGTTTAAAACTAAAACAATATTAGCATTTTTTTCATTCTCATTCACTACAGGGGTTTTCCAGAGGCCACAAGACAGGTCAGGCTGAATGCAGAAGCAGGTATGAGACTCCAAATCCAGAATCTTCTTTGCAGCCAAACATCAGCAAAAAAAATTGCAAAGATATAAAACCATGCTACTCTTCTATTTTTTGTTTCAGAAAATAGTTACTCTTTATAAAATATCTTACTTGTGCTTATATGCAATGGGAGTATTGTTTTTAAATGAATTCATAAATAAATTTAAAATTTCTGAGCTCATGTTTTAACGTGGTAAATATGAATAAAAGTAACCCACATAACCAACAGTACACCGGGGTCCGTTAGGGTTTGAATATGAAATGTTCCCCACCAGCTCATGTGTTGAAGGCCTAGTGTCCAGTTGGAGACCCCAATTATGGGAAGTAGTGGAAACTTTGGGAGGTGGGGTCTACTGGAGGAAGAGGTCACTGGGCACTGCCTTTAACAGCCCCTTCTTGTCTCCCTCTCTGCTTCCTGGCTGCCATAAGGTGAGCAGGCTCCTGCTGCCTCACCACAGCCCCAAAGCAATGGATCCAGCTGACCACGTACCGAAACGTCTGTAACCATGAGCCAAAATAAGCCTTTCTTCCTTTTAAACTATTTTCTTGGGTATTTGTCACAGTGGCTAAAAGCTAACATGGGGTTTTAGACAATTTTTAATACCATAAAGGGGTCTTTAGACAAAAAAGTATGAGAACACCTGATGAAGAGCAGGGTGTGGCTAATTACAGCCTCCTGCTTTTGTAAATAAAAGTTTTATTGGAACACAGCTGTACTCATTTGTTTACATAATGATTATGGCAACTTTTGCACTCCAACTTCCCATAGGTGTAGTTAGGACAGCTAGCCTCAAAAAGACAAAAATGGGTGAAGGGCAAGCCCCAGTAGCTCTCAGATTCAATTCCTGCATCTGTAAAATGGGAGTAGTAAGTAGTATAAGAAGGAGTGATGGCAGCATGAAGTGACAGTGGTGAGGGAGCCTGAAGCCACAGACCGTTGGCTGTGTAGCACACTGTCTGGTGTGACTTGGCCTCTCCCTGGAAACTGGTGATGAGTGAGGTGTCTGGGTATTCCCAAAGCCAGTCTGAACATTGGCTTTCTCCTTCCCTCCTCCACGACCCTGCACCTCACCTCCACAAGCTTCACCACGTTGGGGTGGTCCAGCTTCTTGAGGATGGCGATTTCCTGGTACACCTGCTCAATGGGACCCCTGGGCTGGACACAGCCCCCAGGGGCCGGACGGGTGCCTCGGGGTGGAGGGCGACCTGGTGGAGAACAAAGAGACCAGGTGTTCCTCTGCAGAGGGTGATGCCAGTAGGATGAACAAAAGGGGGAGAACCTAAAAGGGCTGGAGTTGCCACCAGGGACTTTAACCAGTCGTCGCTGCATCTGTCTCCTCCTTCCCTCATTCCTGTCACACGTCCCAGTCCACAGTGACAGGCAGGAGTTCACTGGGTTCAGCTCAGCTATCTCAGCATCCCAGGGTGAGTCAATCAATCACTTCCTTCTTGGGACTCAATTTCCCCACTTCATGAAATGGAATTAACATTATCCCTCATCTCCTTAAATCATGAAAAGGTCGCAGATGTACAATGAGGCCAGTGAGAGGAAACAAAGTAAGAGTCAACAAGAGAAAAGTGGAAAACGATGGGTGTGAAGACCCAGAGTCAAAATACTTAGTATTGGTTGTGGATATAGCTCAAGTGGTAGAGTGGTTGCCTAGCATGTATGAGGCCCTGAATTCAATTTTTGAGTTCAATGTTTTGAGTACCACAAAACAGTTTTTAAAATTTTTTTGGCAGTACTGGGATTTGAACTCAGGCCCTCATGCTTGCTAAGCCGACACTCTACCACTTGAGTCACTTTTCCACCTCTTCTTGTGTTGGGTATTTTCAAGATAGGATCTCACAAACTTATTTGCCCAGGCTGGCTTTGAAATGTGATCCTCCTGATCTCTACCTCCCAAGTAGCTAGGATTACAGGCATGAGCCACCAGCTCTGGGCAACTTCTTGTTTTTCGTGGTGGTCCTGTGGTCTGAATTCAGGGCCTCCCACTTCCTAGACAAGTGCTCTATGACTTTAGCCATGCCTCCCAACTTTAGTTATTTTTCAGATAGGGTCTCATGTTTTTGCCTGGGGTAGGCCTCAGACCTCAATCCTCCCATGTAGCTGGGATTATAGGCATGAAATCTCATGCCTGACCCCCCAAAACACTTTCCATGTCACACATTCTATGTAAGCAAGCATCTCAGTGTGGAATGCAGCTGTAATCAGCCTTAGAAAACAAAAAACCAAAGATGCAGGTGTCAGAAGTGGCATGTGGTTCAAGGGAAGCTGATTCAAAGAAGTGGGAGGGCACTGACAACCTCATTTTAAAAAGTGAGGAGTGGGAGCTGGGCATGGTGGTGCACACCTGTAATCTTAGCACTCAGGAGGCTAAGGCAGGATTGTTAGTTCAAGACCAGCATGGGCTACATAGCAAGACCCTGACTCAAAATGATAGATAGATAGATAGATAGATAGATAGATAGATAGACAGACAGACAGATACATAGATAGATAGACAGACAGACAGAGACAGACAGATAGATAGTAAAAAAGTGAGAAGAGATACTGGCTACACCAGCTAGGCTGGGGAGGAAGTGACAAGTGTACAATGCTAAAGAAATTAAACATCATGACATCACTTTATTGCCTGATTGGGCAGGAACTATTGGTTTCCACAGGTGGAAACCAGAACCCCACTGTGATGTCTTAGGGGGTGGGATGTTTGAGAGGTGATTAGGTGGTAAGGGCTCATTCGTGCTGTTATAAAAGAGGCCTGGCTTCTCCACTTTGCAAGAATGCAGTGAGAAGCTGCCGTCTATGAAGCAGCCCCAGAACTGGGAGTACTGTGGTATGGCAGCCTCAGCTGACTAAGATGGGAGGTAAGAGGCTTTTTTAGTGGGCATCTTTTTGTTTTGTTTTTTGCAGCCCTGGGTTTGAACTCAGGGCCTCACACTTGCTAGGCAGGCACTCTACAACTTGAGCCATTCCACCAGACCTTTTTTTTTTGTGAAGGGTTTTTTTGAGATAGGGTCTCATGAACTATTTGCCTGGCCTGGCTTCAAACTGTGATCCTCCTGATCTCTGTCTCCTGAGTAGCTTTGATTATAGGCGTGAGCCACTGGTGCCCAGCTTTTAGTGGATTTTAAGTACGTTCGCAAGGTTGTGCACCCATCACTGCCAACTAAGTCTAGAACATTTTCTTTGTTTCCCCCTAAGAGTCCCATACTATCAGCAGTCACACCTCATTCCCCACATCCCCTACTCTATGACAACCATTAATCTACTTCTTGTCTCTATGGATTTTCTTATTCTGTTTTTGTTTTGCAGTGCTGGGGATGGAACTCAGGACCTCCTGCAAGCGCTCTGTTGCTGAGCCATATCCCCCAACCCCGGGTATTTCACATAGATGGAATTCAATAATTAGTGGCCTTACTTGGCATGTTTTCAAGATTCATCCATGCAGGAGTACAATTAAACACCCCATTTCTTTAATGGCTGAGTAATAGTCCACATTTTGTTTACTCATTTAATTGCTGATGGGCATCTGGGTCGTTTCCACTTTCTGGCTATTGTGAACAGTGGCACTATGAACATTCGTGTACAAGCTTTTCTGTGGACATGTATTTTCACCAAACAGTGGAATTGCTGGGTCATGTGGTAACTCCATGCATATTTAACTTTTTAAGGGACTGCCAGACTGTTTTCCTTTATTTGAGTTTTTACTTGATCTACATTACTTTAATAAATATCCTTCAAATAAACTTTAAGAGCTGGGCACAGGTGGAGTGGCTGAAGTGGTACAGTGCCTGTCTAGCAAGTGTGAGGCCCTGAGTTCAAACCCTGGTGTGGCAGGAAGGCAGGGAAGGGGAAGGGAGATACCGAGAGACAATGAGTGCAATGGTGAAACAGGAAAAAAAAGATTTGAGGAATGTCACCTGAGGTGATACCAGAGAAGGGTCACCTCGCCCCAGAGGTTAAAATGGCCATTGAAATGGTATGTGACCATATATGGGACAGGCTGTACCCCCATTTCTGTAGCCCACTCTACATGGTATATAAGAAAAGCCCCCTTTGTTTTTGGGGCTCAGCCTTGGAATGCAACCCCGCTGAGTCGCTGCTGGCCTGCTTAATAAACTTGCTTCCCAAAAGCTTAGGTGCCCTGTCTCTTTCTGTCTGAGCCATCTCACAACACTAGCACTGCCAAAAAAAAAAAGAAAAAGAAAAGAGCTGGGCTTAGTGGTGCACACCTATAATCCCACCACTTGGGAGGTAGAGGCAAGAGAATCTCAAACTTTGAGGCCAGCCTGGGCTACACAGTATAAGTGAGACCCTATCTCAAAAACAAAAACAAAAACAAAAAAAACCAAATATAGAACCACAGCAGAGGCCCAGCCCTGTCTTCAGGGAGAAACCCTGAATGGGGTGGGTGTCTTTCCAGAGTATTCCTGGCAGGGGCCCCATTGGGTGGGCTGTGCCCATCTTGCTCCTGCACCTTAGAACAAAGGCCCACGCCCACTGAACTCACGTGGAAAGCCAGCCTGTCGGATCAGCTTCTTTTTGGACAGCACCTTCATTGCCTGCAAAAGAACAGCCCCCACATCCTGGTTAAAGCAGGGAGGAGGGAGAGGGCAGGTGAGACTTCCTGCACTTCAGGTCCCCTGAGCTCCTAGGCCCCTAGCAGCTTTGGGACAGCAGAGTGAGCACCTCATCAGCAGAGGCGGCCAACAGGCTGCTGGGCTGTGTGGGAGAGTGGACGCCTGGAGTCATGCCAACCCTCGGGTGGTTCCACGGTTCCTGAAGAGCAGTCACTGCAGGGATCCCACGAGACTCCCTGCCCCAAACGAGAGCATACGTGAGCTAGTGTGACCAGTGGAGGAGGGGTATGACTGGCTGCTTTACAAGTGGAGAAAACACCACTCTCCCAAACTCCCAGAGTTGGCATATGTCAGAGCCAGGGTTTAAACCCACACTGCCTGACCCCAAAGCCTCAGCCCCAAGGGCAATTTGTCCAGCTGCTGCCTTGTTCTTGGTGCTATAGAGGATGCAGACAGGGCAGCTCAGAGGAACATCATGGGACTTTACCTCCCCACCTATAAAGCAGGTACACTACTTCCTTCCTAATGACCTCAGAATGAAAACCTGCAGTCGCCACAGAGGCTCTACTCCAGGAAGCTGAACCCTGGGAATGATGGGGGTGAGGAGAACAGGGATACTCACATAGTAGGTGTTGTCATTTTCATTGTAAGCCAACTTGACCACACCATAGGAGCCCTGGATAAAGGGAGATGCCCATGTGATACTATCCAGAAGTCATGGACCCTAAGAGTACACAGGTTGCAAACCAGAGCTTTTTGGTCAATTGTGCTCTGTCTGTGATTGTATTTGATGGATCTGCAGTTTTTGCAAAGTTTGAATTAGCTGCCAATATTTAAAGAGAAAATCAAACATAAAAAATCTGTATTTCTGGCTTCTTTTGAAAAACTTAGACCATCTAGCCATAAGAAGACCTCATTTCTGGCCATGCACTGTGGCATACCCAGAGGTGGAGATAGGGAAGATAATGGTTCAAGGCTAGCTCAAGCAAAAAGCTATCCAGACCCATCTGAACACCATTCTAGGCATGATGGCACAACATGTCATCCCAGCACACAAGAGAGGCTATAAGTAGGAGGATCATAGTCTGAGGCCAGGCCTGGGGTAAAAATGCAAGCTCCTACCTGAAAAATAACTAAAGCAAAAATGGCTCCAGTGGTAGAGTGTTTGTCTAGCAAGCAGAAGCCCTGACTTCATACCCTAGCACCACAGGAGAAAAAAGGACCTCATTTCCATACATTAAATTTCCCAGGCTTCACCACAGCCTTCATACACTGAGGCATACCTCACCCACTGACACCACTAACTGGCCTTCCAGTTTTTGACCCCTGCAACGACACTGCTCACTGGTTAAGCAAAAAGCAAAACAAATGTGAGAGTAAGGTGTGTGGGGGGGGGAGAAGATGGGGGGGGCCTCCACTGATATAATGGGAAACTATCACCAAGGCACTATGGGACTTCTCGCAGTTTTTGCAGAAACATATTTAAGATAAAAAAAATGTAACTCATTAATGATAAAACCCATCACACCACCAGCCTCACCTCAAAGACGCTTCCTCGCTCACAGGGCTCCCTCCCCAGGGGCTGAGACATCTCTGATCGAGAAGGAAACCAGTCTGGCCTCTGGGATACTTACCTTCCCAATCTCGTCCTTCAGCGTGTACTGATTCAGCTGCACACAGTCCTAGACAGGAAATAGAGACACATGAAAAATAAATTTTAAGTTTGCAACATAAAATTTTCACAAACAAACACATACAACTGGGACCCAAATCAAGAAAGAGCACATTCCCGGCTCCCCAGAAGCCCCTCCCAGCAGTGCCCCCCTCTCCAGAGTGACCACTGACTTCTAACAACACATATCTCCCTTGTCAATGTACTTTGTCAAAATGCAATCTTGCAGGACTGGAGGTATGACTCAGTGGTAAAGCACTTGCCTAGCATGTACAAGACCCTGGGTTCCATCCCTAGCCAAAAAAATGTAATCATATAACATGCACTTTTTTTTTTGGTAGTACTGGGGTTTGAACTCAGGACCTTGAACTTGCTAGGCAGGCGCTCTACCACTTGAGCCACACCCCAACCCCTTTTGCTTTAGTTATTTTTCAGGTAGAGTCTTGAGTTTTTGTCTGGGCCAGTCTGAACCTCTATCCTCCTATTTATACCTCCCATTGTAGCTGGGATGACAGGCATGAGCCACCATACCTGGCTTACTGATTGAGGTGAGGTACTGTTAATTTTTTTTTTTGCTGGGCTGGCCTCAAACTGTGATCCTCCCAATCTTCAGCTCCCTATAACTGGGATTATAGGCATAAGGTCACTGGGTCCAGCCAATATGTACTCTTTATTTTTTTACTTTTTTTTTTTTGTGGGATTGGGGTTTGAACTCAGAGCTTGCAAAGCAAGCGCTCTACTGCTTGAGCACACCTCCTGTCTGTACTCATAATAATCATTTTTAAAAAGGTTGTTCCCACATTCAAAAATGTATCTGCTGGAAACCTAAGTAAATAAACTTATGTAAACTTTAATTGTGACAAGTGATCACAATTACATTGTTCTACAAGAATGTAAAGTGGTACAAGAGGGGAAAATCTGCAGACTCTTAGGGCAGATAAAGGTTTCTCAGGGAATGTACAAAAAGTACAAAACCCAAAAGGAAACAAATGATACATCAGACTTCACCAAAGTTAAACTTTTGTTTCATAGGACTCTATTTTAAAAACGGAAAGACAAGCCCAAGGCTGAGAGAAACTACTCGCAACACAAGTATCATCAGACAGAACTAGGGTCCAGAATACATAAAGATGCAACAAGTCAGGCTAGGTGCCTGTGGCTCATGCCTGTAATTCCAGCTATGCAGGAAGCAGAGATTAGGAGGATCGTGGTTTGAAGCCAGCCCAGGTAAATAGTTCACAAAACCCTATCTAGAAAAAAACCAACACAAAAAAGGGTTGGTGGAGTGGCTCAAGTGGTACAAGCACCTGCTTAGCAAGTATGAGGCCCGTAGTTCAAACCCTGGGCTGACAAAAAAAGAAAAGGAAAAAAAAATCCAACAAGTTAATTTAAAAATAGATGAGATTTGGACAGAAATTTTTCCAAAGAATGTAGACAAGTGGTCAATAAACATATGAAAAGAGCATTAGTCACTGGGGAAACATACATTAAAGTTACACCTGTTAGGTTAGCTAAAATCAAGAAGAGTAACTAGACCAAGTACTGGCAAGAATACAGAGCAAGCTGGTCATGGTGGTACATGCCTGTAATCCCAGCACTCAGGAGGCTAAGGTAGGAGGACTGTGAGTTTGTGGTCAGCCTAGGCTACATAGCAAGACCCTGTCTCAAAAAAAAAAAAATGCAGAGCAAAAGCAAATACAACCTTTACACTCTGCTGGTGGGATGGAAAATGTACCACCTCCCTGAGAAACAGCTCCAGTTTCTTAACATGGACCTACCATAGGACTGGCCATTCTGCATCCGGGTGTTTACCCAAGAGAACAGAAAGCATGTTTCTAACAACTTACATAGAAATGTTCATAACAGCTTTAAAAGTAATAGTCAAAACCTGGAGGCAATCCCAATGTCCATCAACAGGTAAAGAAAAAGCAAACTGTGGCACATTCAGATGATGGAAAACAATTCAGTGTAAAGAGGAGCCAACCTCTCCCACAGCTCCCTGGGTATCTGCAGGCGTGGGCGCCAGAACTCCTGCAGATGCTCAAGTCCTTCCATAGAGCGCACAGTGCTCGCCTGTCACCTGCACGCCTGTAGTCATCTCCAGGTTGCTTACACGTGTGATACAATGTAACTGCTATGCAAGCAACTGTTACACAGCATTGTTTAGGGAAGAATGACAAGAAGACAAAAGTCCCTACAGATCTAGAATGGATGCCATTTTTTTCTTTCTGAGTATTTGCGATCCAAGGTTGGCTGAATCTGCAGATATTTGGGCCAACGTGTATGCAGCGATGAGGGTAAATCACAAAATCATTATGCTGTGAAAGAAGCTAAGATAAAAAAGCGTGCATACTACATGATCCCAGTTATATAAAACTCTCGAACTTGCAAATGAATCTGCAATGATACAAAAAGCAGCTCAGCAGCTACCTGGAAGAGCCAAACTGGGGGAGGGATGGCTGGCTGGGCAACTTGGAAACTATGAAGCTTTCCCAGGTGCATTCATACAGCAAAACTAATTTTGTACATTCTTTTTGCCTAAGCCTCCAGAGTGCTGGGATTACAGGCATGTACCATCACACTCCTATCAGTTTGTATTTTTGTTTTGCTTTTTCTGTTTTTACTTTAACTGCATCTCAATAGATTTAGGGGGAAAGTCTGAGGCATGCAGCATCTTCAAAATGCACTTGATTTTAAGTGCTCCCCCAACTAATTCGCTCATTCCTCAACAAGCTTTCTCGTGCTCCTGCTCTGTACTGGGCACCATGCTAGCTTCAGAGACACAGTGGTGGATGAGGCAGTGCCATGGGTCTTCACACCCTAGCCAGGAAGACAAAGGCAGAAAACAATAAAGAAATACAAGGTATGAGAGACTGAGGAGCACCATACAGGAAAGTGAACAGGGCCACAGGAGAGGGGTTGGGGCTGCTCTGGAGAGGTTGCTTCTAGAAGGCATTTTGGAGTAGGTGACAAGTGAGTTTAGATAGAAACATTGGATGGAACTGGTTTTGCAAAGCTGGGGGAGGAGGGTGTCCCAAGCAGAAGAACAGCATGAGTGAAGAATCTGCCAGGGTGGGAATGGGCTTGGATCTGAGGGACACAGAAGACAAGAAGATGTAGAGTCTTGTGAGCCAGCAGCAGAATGGAAGGTGGAGCTGGGTGTGGTGGCTCACACCTGTAATCCTAGCTACTCAGGAGGCAGAGATCAGGAGGATTATGGTTCGGAGCCAGCCCAGGCAAATAGTTTGTGAGACCCTATCTGGAAATTCCCACCACAAAAAAAAAAGGGGGGGTGGCTAGTGGAGTGGCTCAAGGTGTAGACCCTGAGTTCAAACCCCAGTACTGAAAAAAAAAAAAAAAAAAAGGCTGAGGGCATGGCTCAAGTAGTAGAGTACTTACTTAGGTTGTGAGAGTCCCTCGGTTGAATCCTTACAACACCACCCAAAAAAGAAAAGAATGGCAGACAGAGCAGGAGAAGGGACAGAGGCAGAGCACAGGTGGGGATCTGAGCTGGGTTCACATCTGCCACCGTAGTGCTAAGGTAAGGACTGCATGAGATTCACCTGATGGCTGGACCTGGTGCCTGCTGTGGACCACTGAGCTCCAGCACCTGGATCAACCGCCGGCACCAGCATCTCTATCTCTGCAAGGCTGCACATGGAACCCTGGCTTCATGCACGCTGAACATGTGCTCTGCCACTGTGCTGCGCCCCAGCCCTGTGATTTGTTGCTGGAGTCTTGCCCTGGCCTTGGGCACACATGCAGGTCCTCACCAATGACAAGTGGCAAGTTGAGTACAAACACTCAGGGATCCCTGGGCTGTCAGAGGATGCCTCTGAGGCTGCTCTGTGCAGGGAGGACAGAGCCCCAGGTGCCCACTTCCTTCCCTTCTGCAAGGACTCTCTCCACCCCTCACTGGTATTTCCTGGGGACCCTCTGTCCACAGCTGCGCAGAGACCCTGGTTCCCACTTTGCTCACTCACATAACGCACCTGCATACCCGTGATGGAGACGTGGTGAGACTCCACTGTGGGCCGCCGGGGTAGCCGTGGCGAGGATTGAGGGGAGCTGGCAGGCGAGTAGGACAAGGATGGATAGGTACAACGTCCATTCGTGTCTGGGCTGCTGCCAGCCACCAGCCCGCCCTGGGACCGCTCCTGCAGGGACAGCTTGCGACTGGAGAGCGGGGGCCGGGCCTGGGACTCTGAGGCATTCAGAGGAACCTCCAGGCCATCAGCCTCCTCAGGCCGATCCCGGATCAAGCCGACGTCCATAGCCCGGCCAGGCTCACACTCAGTGACCACAATGAAGGACTCCATGCCCCAGTGGATGCTCAAGGATGAGAGGCCTCGTAGGGCCTCACAGGGCTGCTGGCTTTCACTGCTGGCGTCCCCGCCCCCCAGCTCATCCTGGGGGACGGCCCTGTCACTGCTGAGCTGGCTACAGACACATGATGACATGGTGTGTGGGCCAGCTTCATCGACCACCACACCAGGGCGCGTCCATCCGGCAGCGGTGCCACCTGCAGAGAGAAGGAGGGTAAAAGTTGAGGCCCAGGCTGGTATCTAATTCCTGCCTTGGGTTGACGTCCTTAAAAAAAACACCTTGCAACTTGACATGGTATCCCAAGCCTGTAGTCCCAGCTACGCAGGAGGCAGAGACAGGAGGACCTCAAGTTTGAGGCCAGCCTGAGCTATAATGCAAGACCCTGTCTCGAAAACAAAATACAAAGGGGCTGGGGTGAAACTCAGTGGAAGAGTGCTTGCCTAGCTTGTGCTACAAAACAAACAGACGAAACAGTGTCCAGAAAAACAATCAGTATCCAGAGCATTTCTAGTTTGCCTTCCCTGAAGTGAGGAGCTGATGGCTCAGCTCTAAGTCACCACTCCTCATGTCTGTCACAGCTTTGCAATGAAAGCTCATCAGAGCCAGGTGTAGTGGCGCATGCTGAGGTGGGAGGCTCATGAGTTTAAGGCCAGCCTGAGCCAGGTAGCAAAACCCTCTTACAAACAAGCAAGCAAAAAAAATCTCACCAAACGTGATGTGAGACAAGCCAGCAATCTCTACAGAGAAGTGCCCTCTGCCTCTCTTTGAGAGCCTCTTCCCAGACACCAAGATGCGGAGTCCAAAGTCAACCCCTGTGGGAACCGAGTATAAGAAACCCCGAGAGCACAGGATCCTACAGAATTGGCAGCTACTTCCACTGTTGCTTATCAGGGAGTTGGGCACACCATTGCCTGGTTGCCTTTTTTTCTTTTCAGAGACGCCCCAAGGATATCCGGTGAGTTCTCTTGATTTTTTTTCTTTGAATTAGCAAATGCTGGGCAAGCCAAATACAACACCTTCCACCTCCCACCCTCAGGCTGTACCACCTCACAATGCAAAGACCAAGACAGCACTTTACAGTTTACAAAGCTTTTCTGTGTACCAGCATGACGTCAGAAACAGCACAGTTGACTTGCTATGAGAACCCTATTTTGTGAGTGGGAAAACTGAGGCCCAAGAGAGAGAAAGGGATTCTCTGAGCTCACATACAGCAGCAGACTTGGTTCCTGGCCTGGCCTTGGGCTAGTGATTCTGAATGAGACATGAGAGCCAGGGTCTCATCCGAGATAGGACAGCCAGTGAGAGGGTGATGTGAGAGCCAGGGGGCTGATGTCTGAGAAACCAGGCTCAACACATATACCCTCTAAAGTTTTCCTAGTTTAGTCCTCACCTATGTCTTCCTGGCCAGTGCCTGCCAGACATACACCAAAACATGAGTTAAGAGGGGATGGCATCAAATAGCCCGATGGTTCCTCAAACGTTACGGAGTTTCTGTATGGCCCAGCAATTCCACTCCTAAGCACAGCCCCAAATGCACCATTCACCATCGCTACGAGGAAGAAATAATGTATGAGTGGATAAATACAATCTGTCCCCCATCCAATGGGGGATTCCTAATTCCAATGGGGAATTAGGAACTGGAGGGCTGACACAGGCTATGTCATGGATGCACCTCAAGGTATCATGCTGACAGAAACCTGTAACAAAAGGCCTGGTATGACAGGATCCCATTGATAAGAAACTTCTGGGAGAGGCAGATCCATAGAGACAGAATGACTGGGGGCCTGAAACTGGGGAGGACTTTGTAGAGAATGGGGAGTGAGTGCTCTGTGGCATGTGGTTTCCTTTCAGGGTGATGAAAATGTTTTGGCACTAGACAGAGCTGGTGGTTGCCCAATCTGGGGCATATACTAAATGTCACTGAACTATTCACTTTAAAACAGTTAATTTTAGGGCTGGGGTGTAGCTCAGCAGTAGGGCACTTGCCTAGCACATGATAGGCTCTGGGTTGCACCTCCAAAAAAAAAGAAGTTAACATTTTATTAGGTGAATTTTCTTATCAATTTTAAAAAGAGAGAGACTGACTCTGTCTGTCTGGGGCAGAACATTAACCTTTGGTTCATGTGTTTGACAAGTTCTTCTGGGCAAATGTCACAGGTGCCACTGGAGTCCAATGAGTGCGTCCACAATGGGTGGCAGCTCCACACTAATCACCAACTCCACACAGGGTCTCTCTGGGTGCCAGGGAAACTGTGGACTCTCAGCAGAGACTTAATGAAGAGAATAAAATGACACTGGAGGTGGGGGCGCATAGGGAGACGGTGAGGAGAGTAACAGGAAGCCAGGCTCCCTGGAGGACCCAGCTACCCAGCTGAGGAATGGAGAAGCGTCACCTGGCCCTCTTGGAAAGGTCCTTCCAGAAGTAATGATGGAACGATTACTTTGCCAAACAAGGGACAGGGGAAGTCCAATGAGAGCATCGTTAAGGGACCTCCCAGTCCTGACATGGCCGCTTTGTGGACACAGCTTCTGGTAAAGAAACTACAGCACACCCGACCACGGACAGATGCTCTGCCTTGCTTATTGTGCTTGAGAAGTGCACATTCGAACCACAACACAGCAGCTGGGTAGATCCTGAGAAAGTCAACGCAGAGCTGCTACACGACCAGCAATTCTTCTAGCAGGGATCTGGATGCCTGTACACCAGTGTTCACAGCGGCACTAGTCAAAATTGCCACAGAATGCGGCAGAACCACTACGAGCCGTAAAAAGGAAAGAAATTCTGACTCATGCTAGATTCCATTTACATGAGGATCCTGCAACCGTCAAATTCAGAGTAAGGCCAGGTACAGTGTTACACATCTGTAATCCCACTTACTCAGGAGGCAGAGATCAGGAAGGTTGCAATTCAAAGCCAGACTAGATACAAAGTTAGCAAGACCCCATTTCAACAAATAAGGTCACCTGTGATTCCCAGCTATGCAGGAGGTATAAGTAGGAGGACTAAGGTTCAGGAAGGGGCAAAAAACTTGAGACCTGCCAGGCACTGGTGGCTCACATCTACAATCCTAGTTACTTGAGAGGCTGAAATCAGGAGGATCTTGGTTTGAGGCTAGCCAGTGCAAAAATTTTGTAAGACCCCCATCTCCTAAATAACCAGAGAAAAATAGACTGGAGGTGTGGCTCAAGTGGTAGAGTGTCTGCTTGGCAAGCCTAAAGCCCTCAGTTCAAATCCCAGTCTCACCAAAAAAACCCCACAAAACTCAAGACTCTACCTGAAAATTAAAGCAAAAAAGGGCCAGTGGCATGGCTCAAGCAGCAGAACACCTGCGAGCAAGCTCAAGGCCCCTGAGTTCAATCCCCAGTACAACCAAAAAAAAAAAAAA